TTCCCTTTTCTCTGCACTGAGTACGTGATATATGTAATCCTTACAAAATGTGTTTTTGATGACATGCTAGTTTTGGACTCCAGAATAAAGTAATAGTGTAGAAAGGAATAAAATTATGCTGTCATAAGACTAATTCCTCAGATAACCTGGTGCATGCAACCCTCTGGATGAGTTACMTATTTTTCTATTTCACATCATTCAAGTAATGTTTAAGTGACTGGGAAGTTCATGTCAGGCCAAAAATCAGATATTAACCCCTGAAAGAGCAATAAGATGGTGCAGAACTGCCTGGTCAACTCTCCCCTTGTATTTAGTGCCACGATATCTGGCAGAATCAACCAGATGACCTGTGCATTGCCCGGGGTGTTTCACTATCATCCTGCTTGCAGACAAGCACATGCAAGAGGTGGTAAAATGTTTGCTTTGTGTCATAGCCCTAGATAAGGAACCACTTTGTGTGTCCTGGGTAGGTCATTTGAGTGAACATCTGGAAGTCTTGAGAGAACCTCCAGAGACAACCTCCAGGCAGCCTTCCTCTGCTAGCAGCCARCTCTGACCACACACATCCCACAGCCCCTACCACAATTTTCCCCTTCCAGTTCCCTGCTCAGACCACCGCTAACCTCTTCCYGCTCTTCTCCTTCCCTCTTCCCCGCTGCTTACGTCTCAGCTGAGTGAGAAACAAAAGCCTTTGCAATGACTTTCTGTGGTTGTATGATAACGGGAATCAATCAGAACCAATTTATATATTCATGCCTTTCTGAATGTCTCTCTAAATGGCCTCTAAACYTTGACTTCCTGCCATAGTTGGAGTCTTTCTGGATGGTGTTAGTTAGTTAGTACTCTTCAGATGTCAACAAAACTTTTGAGCAAAAGGATGTTGAAACCCATGTAAAACGTTGCCAATTGCTCTGCTTTCTTCCTTATATCCGCAGTCCTGGAGTTTGTAATTCAAGCACAGGTGTATCCCATTGTTCCCGGGATTTTCATCTGAGGAAGGATTTAGTAATAGTGGCACATTAGAAGCAAACAAGTGCCGGCCATTCCTCTCCTCCACTGCAGGGTAATTGTGTTACAGTGAAAGGCTTTTAACTGCGAATCCGGCTGAATTGCTCAACCCCCCTAGGAGACATTCCTGACCCATGAATGTCAGTCTGGCATCTGCACGCGCCGTTCCCACAGCTGCCGCGTTGCGGACCAGGCCGCGGCAGGAGGCCGAGCGCTCCACGGCAGCGGTGCCGGGGCAGCGGCACGCGGGGACCGGGGCTGCCCGGGGCCCAACGGCACCGACTAATCCAGCGTGTTGCTGGGGGCTTTATGGGTACTGTAAGAAGTAGCATTTTTGTACACAAAACACAGTCTATGCAGGATGAGTTCCTGACAGCCGTTCCCTGGATCACAGCCTTCCAACTGCACTGCYGTGCAGGGTAAGCAGAGCCATAGAATAAAAAGGGCCACATGTTTTGAGTTTTTAGGCTAATTGAAARAAAAAGAGTTAGATTCCACATTGTACTGTACAGCAATGATAAACTGTGCATCAAAGATGGCCTTTTTTCAACAGTGCCTGGCTCAAACATTTATTCAAAGAACACGATAAGGCAGATAGATGCTTAATAGAGAGTAGCTGTCATAATTCTGAAATATTCTTATAGAAGCAGGATGTTGGCACGAAGCTCCTGGAATCTTTTGCTTTTCATCTTGATCCCGTGCCCAAAGGAACTGAAAGGGCCCTGTTGCAGTTCTATTTTTTTTTTTTTTTCCTGGAAAATAATGCAGAGCACACTTCAAATCATACTATTTTGTTACACTAAAAGGCTGAATGCATGAGGGAAGGACACGAGACCTGAAGCCTTTCTGTGGATACTGACTCTTACCAGCTCCTGGAACTTAGTGAATGACTAAGTTTCCACTGTGCTTTCCCAAACGGAGTTAACTCTTTGGGGAGGGCACAGTAGCATTTGGCAAGCGGCTGGTATGGAGCATGGTGCAGTTCAGCACTGTCCTCTTGGACCGCTTTTGGGGCAAACCCCGGCTGCTTTTGGGGCAAACATTCCCAAGGAAGCAGTTCTAGCCCCCAGGTCCCTAGGCAGCGAGACACGGCAGCTCACAGCACTGCTTGGCTTTCTTGCTGTGTCACCAGTGCAGCAGCACGTTTGTGTGATTCATCTTTTCTTCTGGTCAGGAGGACTTTGGTGCAAACCTAACCAAAGCAATGGGAGAGAGGAGGCCTATAGTGCAGTGACTCATCTCTTTCGGGGCAGTAGACCGAGATGAAAAGCAAAATGTTTCTGGCACAGAAGTAATATCCTGCTTCTCTAAGGATATTTCAAAGAACAGTAATGCAAAGGAAAATYCCTAAAAACGTTTAACAGCGTCCTTCACACAACCAACTATGAGTGCACTCAGGGCCGAATACTGTTCTGATGTCCAGGATGTCAGAGCTGTGCTGGAGGGTAAACGGAGCAGGCAGGGTCGTTTCAGGACATTCGGCCGGTGTCACGAGGTCACAGTCCTGAAGGGCCTAAGAGTTCAGCCACATTCCTAGAAGCCCRAGTGCCCCAACTGCCTCAGGGAGAGAAATGGGCAAAAGGGCAGTTTTGTGCTGGAGCCTGCAGCACTGCTACTGGAAATGCTGGATAATGAGGAATCAAGCAATGGTGCCAAGGTATGGGAAATACTCCGAAAGAAGGAAACTCCACATGAGATAAACACAGTTTTTATAACTAGAATGGAAATCAAGGGAGTTCTCAGTATCTTTGCAGAGCCATTAAAAATGTAGCTGGCTTTGCTCTGGTGCTGCAAGTCAAAAGAGGTACAGTACTATGGCATTTTAAAAATAATTTCTGCAAAAAATAAAACCATGTCTTATTTGCTATGKAACTCTATTTTTAAAAGATCCTTCAGGAACACAGGATAGGTCTTATGACAAGTTCCTACTGTGTGAACAGACAGTCTATTCAGGATGGTCTATTCAGATCTGGACCCAGATTTGTATGGCAATAAGCATGTGTCACTACAGGAGTCTCGGATGTAGTCTCAAGGTGTGCACTGTAGCTGCATCCTTGTTTCAGGTTGATGGTGAGACCCAAGCAGGGCCTTTTCTCCAAAACAGTCCAACTTTCATGAGCAGAAAATCCCTCACATGTGGCCAGAAAGGAGCACTTAGTGCTCCAACCAGTTCTCAAATCTTTATGATGGGGGTTGAGGCCATGGGAAATGTTGCTGTATATAGCTGCCACAGGCTGTAAATACACTTTCAGAAACCATTTAGGAGATGGAAGTGCATCTCAACATGGTAAGATAAGAGCTCTGGAAAAAAAAAAAGAAAAACAAACAAAACCTCCTTAGTACATAAGACCTTTAAGATACTTGGCTTTAAATGTTGGATTTTGAAAAGAAATGGTAACTTCTGAAACTTGTTATTGTTTGGTCTGATAGACAAGAGAAGCTGGAAAAAAAAGTCTTCTTTCCCTTGCTGTTTTTGGAGTGGGCCCAGGATATCAGGTACCGGAGCTCCGGGTAGTTTAGGAAAGCTGCCAGCTCTCACCTCGTGGTGTTCCCAAGCCTATTGCAGGGCACAGGTACAGGCGGCAGGGTGCAAAGCATATTCTGGCTGATGGAATTGTTTCTACCCAAATACAGCTCTTAGTTAAAACAGGAGGAAGAGAACTTTTACTGGCCTGAAAACAAGTCTCTGAAAAGCAGCTGGACTGCAGCCAAGACAGGAATGACGGCTTGAGGAGAACCCTAGGCTTGTAATGGGTTTATCTGCACCATTTACAATTCTGAAAGCTCCTTGTCTTGTTGGCAGGTCCCTGTCCAAGCTCAGCCAAGAAGCAGCCTATTTACTACCTGSTTTTGTTGAAGCTCTCTCTGCCTATAGATTTGAGGGGGATAATAACAGACAAGGGTAGATTTGAACCCTTTAGCAGCAGTGAGGTCATGTACCTGTTGCGTGGAGTTACAATGGGGTGGATAAAAAGAACAGAAAGGAAGTGCCCAGTCTTAAATGTAAAAAAGAACATAATGAGGAAATCTTAGAGTGATATCAAGTGCTTACCTCACACAAATATGATTAATAAATAATAATGGGAGGGCCTAAGTAAAGTTAAATTATTATCTGAAGACACATTTTCATTTTGTTTTGGTTTGAATCCTTGTCAAGATGAACATTTGACTGGATGTGGAAGGGCATTTTCTCTCTCTCCATCATGGCACCTTTGTGTGTTCGTTAAGATCCAAACTTTCCTTTGAATGGCCTGTTTTGCAGTGCTCATTCATGCAGCAGTTGTTATGCTCGAGAACATGCATTATTCCAAAAGACAAAGGACACCACTGGGGTTCTCAGTAAGCTAATCAAGATACATATAGGTSAGCATTAATGTTGTGAGATTGCTTCCAGGATCTAAACTACCTCATTCTATTGTCCAGTTTCTTAAAGAACTATTTAAAATAGTTAATAGTGCTAGTAGTTACTAGCACCGGTTAAAAAGAGATTAAAAATGTATTTCCTTACTTTTCACTGAAACTCAGAACACTATATTTTAATAGTTATGCCACATTTGAAACATAAAACAAGTTATTAGATGGCCACAATAGTTTTTTTTTCCCTTTGAACTCTGAAACTGATAAAAATTAGTGGAAAAAATAAACTCTATAACTTGTCCATGARGAAGCATGAGAAGAAATAAAAGATTCACTTGAGCATTTTCTGAATACTCATTCTGTATCTATGATAATCTGGGAAACTTCATGTATCCTTCACGTATATTGAAAAGAGACCATGTCTTTGTTTTAAAAGTGCTCTACATTCTTTTGAAAGGTTGTGAAATATAGTCATAGGTGCAGGCATACTTTTTCAGTCAAAAATCTTACATTTCCACTTGAGAAAAAGATGAAAAGTATCTACCTAGTCCCTTAATAATTAAGCAGGAGGTGCATATTGCACATCCTCAATATGAAGAATGAAAGACCTTTTTCCATATTAGAACTCATTCGACATGAAACCAGGGAACAACAACACAGACTGCAGCTGTGCTTTTAATGACCTTTCGCTCTTTTTGGAGGTATGGTGCTATCACAGAACCCCCCTAAATGGCACAACCCTGCAGAATTTCCATTACATTAGCATTATGAAGCTCGGACTTCGCACATCTCCCAAGGCAGCAATTCTCAGCATTAGTGACTCTGTTTCTGCTTAGATTTTTGGATCCATAATCCATTTTCAGTTGCAGCCTCACGTTCTTTCAGTGCAGCTGTGGACTTGTAAYACCCCGTGTAAACCTACTGGTTACAAATAGCTTGAAAAGTATGTTTTACAGTACATTGCTGATATAAACTGTAAAAATGTATAACTTTATATGGAAGGACTCATAGCATAATTAGTAAGTCATTCTTATGGAACAGGCATTATTGATCAAATAGATCTCTTTATAGTAGAGAGTTAAAGAAAAAAAATAACTTGTGAGTTCTTATAAGAAAAAATCACGTGTGAGTTGAAGGTCTGCTGCTTTCCTTCATCCACTAAGACCAAGAGAGAGGGGAGAAGGAATAAGACTAGTAGAGAAGGAGAAAGAGCATTTTGCACTAACATACTACCTGAAAGTCAAGGCAGATGCCCAAGGAAATTCACCCTGCTGGTACTAATGTATTTTTGGGAAGAATGCTTTTGCCCTGATTCAAGTGATTGGTTACCGAGTCAGGCACAGATACACACCKGTGTTACTGAGACAGGAGCACTGCATTTGCCTGCATTGCAGTTTTTCTAACTTTTCTAACCTTTCAAATAAACAATCACTTTCAATTTCCTAAAGAAGACATGTATTTAGAAGTATTTCTTAAACTATTTAAAGTTGATGAAAAACTAATGTTTGAACTCAGCTTTATCAAACAATTCTATTAATTTTTGTGTTAGGGATTGTCCAATTTCATACTGTCTCCTTTAACTTTGATATATAACACATTGCAAATCAGTGAGATAAAGTAGGCCAGGCAAACCTAGACATTTTAGGTGGTGAGGAAGGGAGACAGACATTGGGCAAATTGTGTTTCCGAGTCACGAATAACCAAAGTGATGTTTTTGTGTTGCTTAGCTACAGTTTCTGTTTAGCTGGCAATGGAGACCACTGAAAATATTTTAGCTTCTGTTCCTGACAGCTCTGAACGTGTATTAACATGCAAGCTTATAAACTCCCATGCTGTTACAAGCGTGCCCGAGATACCTCTGCAAGGCGAGCGAAGGGGACCCTGCCAAGCGTCGGGGTCAGCAGCAACCAGCCAGTTGTATGCAGCTAATAAAGAGAGGGGTTTTGCTGGTTGGCCTCTTTCCTCAGCTGTTGGGGCTCCGTCTGCCACCTGCAAACAAAGTTCAAGAGCAGACACGAGCAATTTGCTGGTCTGCTCGGCAGGAGTCAGGCGGTGCTGATGGCCTCGGGAGGCTGCTCCTGAATTGGTGCCAATTTTAAATCTCCCCTCAGCTCTCCAGTTCACCAAAAGAGCTACTTTTCCTTCCAGCCACACTGATAAGGGCAACATGCAGAAGAGAAGTACATGACTAATGCTTACAAAGTGTTTTGAGGCTTGAATCGAGGGAAATATGAAACCTTGTGACCCCTACTCAAAATAGCCAAATTCCATCCACACTTGAGCTAGAAATGGTAAGAATGTCTCTACTTTTTTTTACTAAGGACATGTTTGGAGGTAGAGTATTCAAGGGTAAAGAATTCAGCATTGTTGATCTTAAGAAGCAAGACATTTATGATAATAATGGAAGAAAAAAACCCACTATTCTTAATTTTACTTCCAAGGATTAATCTTAAGAGATCAAGATAACCCTAAAACCTGGAGTACAAATGATGCATCAGATTTACATTCAGTTGGGAATCATAAGGTAACTGGCAAATAACTGACTTAGTTAGATTGTCAGCTGAAGGAACTCCAGAGTTCAGCGTAGTTGTCACAACATGCAACATAAATGGAGCAAATGGATTCATTTACAACACACCAGCAAAAAAGCTGTATTGCCGTGAGCGCTGGAATGAGGTAGCATGCAGCTCAGGTTGCCAGGATGAAAATAGCTCTGGAAYGTAACAAATTCTCAGTGACCAATTCACACCCCAGAGAGCCGCAATCAACATGGCAGAATTCTATGAGTGTTCTGTTTGAAAAGTAAAAAGGAACTGATTATAACGCGATAAATTARTGATGGTTCATGTTGAAAGGATCATTATGATTACACTTTTTATGGGCAAACAGAAAAACTGAGAACCACATAAATACACATAGTGGGGAAATATATRACTGAGATCTATTCAGGTGATATTACAGTAAAAAACTCAAAAGAAATTACAAAAAGAATAGGAATGAAATCCCTGATCACACAGGCTTCAGCATATGCATACCTGACTCTCCCTTTTCCACTGAAATCCAAGGACTTCTCAAGCACTGTAATACTACAAATGTGACAAATGTGTAAAAAGGTTAATTATATTCCATCTTCTTTAAAAAAAATGACATGTAGAGTAATATAGYCTCCTTGACAGTGGCTAGAATGACAAGTAAGTGTATTTGGCTTAAAATAATCTATATAGGAATATGCTTTCATTGCTCCATACATTTAAACCTGACAGTTCTTTCCCAGGTATAATATTTTCCACTTTTTTTTTTCTTGCTTCCATGTCATTTGCAAAAGCGGAGCCTCATATTGCACGATTTCCTAATCCTGCTTTTCAGAGGCGCGTGCGTGGAACGGTTGGGTTTTCTTCTGGTAACTCTGCAGTCCCAGCATTCCTGATGGCAGCCGAAGGCTCCGGTATCTCCAGCAGGCTTTTGTTCTGCGGCCTCAGAGCTAATAGTTCTACTAATCTTCAAGTTAGTTTTTACTTTTATCTAACTTTTCCAGTTTAAGAAGATTTGCTATTTTTATTGGAAATTGAAAAAGCTCTGTTTCATAAATGAGAGTTATTTTCAGATAGTTTGTTTTAAAGAGGATTTCTGGAATTCTCAGCATAAGCTTTTCAACACATTTCTCAGTCAGATGGTCTTTTCATTTCTGGTTTGACACATAGCTGTGCCATTCATTTAAAAGTATTTATTCCTCTGTCTACTGTCTGGAAAACTAAATTTAATTACATTCATAGAGTGAAGAATGTGCATGGACCATGCACATTGGTGAATTCAATTCACTTGGCAAATTGTTTTTATGGTAATATGTTGGAGAAGGTAGCGGATACTGTGCAGTGGTAGGGACAAGGAGAACAGCTCTCTCCTTGCATTGGAATTTTAAACAGCAAAAACCTTGAGAGAGATAATAAGCATGTTTCTGCAAAGCAGCCCTTGGGATATAAGGTCACTGGTACACCTCTGTACTAATTCACAATCTCTTTTTTTTTTGTGGACCTCAAGGAGATAGGTAGTTTCCCTTAAAACTAAATTAGAACAATAAAAATGGCTAAAACAAAAGGCCATAGATGAAGTGTCTGAATTGAGTCACAGTAGAGATTTAAAGAAAGCAGAAGGAAAGTATTATAAGGAGATTCAAATCTCATCAAGAAAGTATTATAAGGAGATACAAATCCCATCAGCTCCCTACACTACTAATGAAGACAAACGAAGCACAAAACCATTGCTTTCAAATCCCTCTTGTACCGTGTCTTATAACTGAGGTGTTTGCAATGGCATAAACATTCTCCTGCCAGAAAATAAGGATCCCTTTCATAAACTATGTTTCTGAAATAATTGAAAATGTAGAGTACATTAGAGCATAATATCAGTTAATCTGTTTTAGCGATTGCAAGTGCAAAAGCTTCATGCAACTGTGCAATTTATATCAAGCACAATAATCCTCTCGAAGTGCTGGCTGGAAGTACAGAAATGGTGGCAATTTCTGTACCCCTAACACGAAAGTGTTGGCAAATCCTTGGGTGAAGGATTACAGCTTCCTTTCTCCAAAATCCCACTAAGGGCTGAGGAGAACTGTCATCTACCCATATCCGAGTGCCTGGCATCCAGGGCCGACAGGGAGAACTGAAGCCTCTGTGTAAAACAAAAGCTTTCAAGACGTTTCCTCCTGTGCATCATCCAGCGATTATCTTTAAATAACACCTCATGCATAAATTAATGTGTCAAAATAGGAGTTTGGGACCTGTGTAAACCAGGAACATAGGACACAACTCGGTGAACAGAAGTAGCCCTGGGAAAGGAGCTCCTGGAGTGTTTTTTAAATGCTTAGTCCATTACATTAAGAAAGTGAATGTCAAAGGCGGACACTTCTCACAGAGAAGTGAGTAACTCACTCAGACTGCCAGGCTTAACTGTGTTAAGTATTCCAGCCTCACGCGTGAGCAAACCTGATGAGTAGTTAATGTCTCTGCTCCAGAGCTACCACTCTGCTGCTGCCTAAGACTATGGAAGYCTTATGTGCTCGGAGCATCATCACCAGGCCCCGCATATCCCCAAAACAAGCACTGGTGGTGTAGCTCTTCATAACTGGTCAGAAGGTTGTGATATGAAATATTTTCTTCTTACAGATTAATACCAATAAGCTAACGCCTGAAAATTTATTGGTGGGAAATGAGTAGAGTGCTGCAATATTTTTATATGGATCTGATTCTGCACCTTGCTGCGCCTCCTCTGCTTCCTGCCCCAAACCATTTTAGAGATATTCAGGGATTTGAGAAGATTAGGCCAGGAATCTGAAGCCTAGACTTCATTTCCATACTACTTACAAATGGCAGCTGTGGGGCAAACACAAAATGTCAAGTGCTCACAATCAGTGCCTTTCTTCCTACTGAAAAGACTTTGCATATTCTCATAGGGTAGACTCAAAAGAAAATCACATAAAAATGCATATTCTCCTCACAGTACTCTTTTGGCATGGAGAAGAAGTATTTAAAGTATAGCAGATGTGCTTCTGCTGTTCAATAGAAATGAAGCCTTTTATAATTTTATAACATGTTTAAATATTTTCACTTAGAATCAATGCACACACTGCTGTAATAGGACAGCGGCATGCTGTCCCCATGGCCTTTTTTTCCAGAGGCTTCAGTCCTACTTTAGTTTCAAATAT